CTTCCACTGATGATTATTTTCTTGGAGCTGGGATGGGTTGGAGAGGCAGGTTTTAATTGTGATTAAAATCTCAATATTAGTGTATTAGATCTTTCTAGGAGCGTATGAAAATGTAAATTCTGTCCCTCCAAATTCAGATTCGGTCCTATTGGTATGAAATGGAAAAATCTGTATTTTGAACAAACACTCCCAGGTTATCTGCTGTGTGTCCACATGTTGAGAAACAATGGTGGAGTTTTAGATGCCCTTCCAGGGAAAGGGGAGGGACCTGAGAAGGAATCTGGCCCAAAGCCCAAATCCACCCATCCAAGTTCTGGGAGTCTGGATATTGGCAGGAAGGGATAACAGGCTGGAGTAGCAGTTTGTGCTTGGAAAGTGTGTTGGGGGAGTGGAGTTAGGGATGGGGGTAGAGGTGTGAGTTGAAGTTTCAAGTTGTTATGGCCAGTGACCCGGTCTAAAAGCTCTTGCAGGGGAGTTTCCAAAGACTGTCAGTGGGGTCAGAAATGGTCCCACATTTCCTATTCATACTGCCTCTCCCTTAGACAGGTGGAAAAGGAGCTGGCGAGTGAGGCAGGACATCTGCTTCCACAGAATTCTCAGCGGGCCACAATAGCCTGTAAGTGCCTGGCATGGTTGCAAGTGCTTCACGTGTATGTAATCTCTGCCACTATCGTATAAGGTAGTACTACTGTTATTCCCACTTTACAGATGGGGAAACTGGGGCTCAGAGGTATTAAGTAACTTATGGAAGTTACATAGCTAGTAAATAATGGAGCTGGGGCTTGAACCCAGGTTTCCTGGCTTTACTTAACCTCCATGCTATACCGTGTTGTGTACATATCATATTCATTCTTCCAATCTGGACTGCATGTTTAGGAGAGAAAGCTAAAGAAAGGGAAATTGAGGGGTGGGGTGCAAGGATCCAAAGAAAGTCATTCAAATCAGTGAAAATGAAAGCGTTCCAAACCAACTTTCCCTCTATCTGTTCCCCCTCAGCACTACCCTTTCCTGGCCTTTCTGTATTCATGTCTCTTTCTTACGTCTCCTCTCCTGGGGAATTGAGAAGATAGCCTGGAGTCACTGCCTGTTCACTGGAAACCAGAGGAATCCATGGGGGTTGTACCTTCCACTTGTCTCATTCTTACAACTGGCAGGCAAAGCCCCCTGCCTCCCGCCAAGGCAGATGATGGGGCAAGTTTTTAGCTCACAGGATTCCTGGGTGGGACCTGGGCAGTGGAATGACTGTTCAGTAGATATTTGACTGAGGCTGAGGCCTGGAGTATGGCCTAAGGGACTAGGGAAGTGTGTCTGAGGAAGACATCCCAAGCCAGGTGGTGAGTCATCTTGGGGACAATCATGTCATGCCCTGATGAAGCCTCCACCCTTGCCTGTCATTAGATTCCTGGAAGGTGTGTTTGACAGGCAAATAATAACAAAAGCTAACATGTACCATACCCTGTTCTTGATACTGTACGTACATTCGCCGATTTAATCATTACAACAATCCTGAGATATGCATTATTATTATCTCATTTTATAGATGAGGAAACTGAAAATGAAAAGATCAAATGACATGCCTAAGGTCTCACAACTAGGAAGATGTGGAACGCTGAGTGATTCTACCGAAGCAGTTAGAGTGTGTGCTTTACCACACACTCTACCGAAGCAGTTAGAGTGTGTGCTTTACCACTCTGCAATCTGCCTCTCAAATATACTGACAGTTCCCACCGAGGGGGAAAAGCCTACATCCAGAGTAATTTCTTCCATGCCTTGATGCACAGGCTGCAGAGGTGGAGGAAGAATAGGCAGATGATGGAAACTGAAGAGCAGGGCCCCTTGACATAGCCTACTCATACAACAAGCCTTTTTGCCCCATTCCCTTTATGCAGGTGGCAGACTATAAGGAATAATCAAGGAGAGTGAATAGGGACTGTATTCCTCCTACCCAGGCCTCTTTGCAGAGATCCACATTTGTCAAGCCTATAGCTTCCTGGATTTTCACAGGTGCCTCTTACAAGGTAGATCTGAAACTCTTTTCCCACCCACACCTGCCCCTCCTCCTGCCCTGCCCCTCTCAGTTCCCTGCTCCAACAGTCCCACCACTGCCTAAGCAAGGAACCTCATTCTCTCCTTCTCCTACATCCAAACAGCCACAAAAGTCAGGTTGATTCAACCAGTGAATGATCTGTTGCATCCATCCATTATGCCTCATCCCCACTGCACCTGCTCTAGCCCAGTGATGGTCTCTTCCAGCACTAATTATGTGCTTGCATAGTTTGCCATTTTACAGACATCATCTTTTAATCCCCAGAACGATGTCTGTTTGCTAGTGAGGACACTGAAGTTCAGAGAGGTGGAGTAACTTGCCTAAGGTCACACATTGAATTGGGCAGAGCCAGACCCAGGCAGTCTGACTGCAGAGCCCACACTCAGCCACTGTTTTGTACTGCCTCCCTAATCACTACTCTCAACTTTCCCTTCCTCAGTCCTTCCTATGTGATGCCATAAGAATCTTTCGTTCATTCCATAACATTTACTGTAAGTGCCAGGAACTCTGCTATACACTGAACATCTAAAACTGAGTAGATACTGAGCTTCAGGACCAGAGTCTAGTAGAATTTTCTTTTATCTTCCTAAACACTTATCTGGTCAAGCCTCCTTACCCAGCGCAGTGTCTGGCATAAAGTAGATGCTTAATGATTACGGCTGGAAATGAAATGAATGAGCCTATGGGAAGACGGCTGATGTCTGCTTAGGGCCTATACCCAGGGCAGGGGGAAAAGGATGGGGGCAGGTTTTCCAGTTCATTTTCAGTGCATTTCATTTCATCTCCCTAAACACTTATCTGGTCAAGCCTCCTTACCCAGCGCAGTGTCTGGCATAAAGTAGATGCTTAATGATTACGGCTGGAAATGAAATGAATGAGCCTATGGGAAGACGGCTGATGTCTGCTTAGGGCCTACACCCAGGGCAGGGGGAAAAATATGGGGGCAGGTTTTCTAGTTCATTTTCAGTGCAGTTCATTTCATCTCCCTCCTTGCTGCTTCCTTATTTTCTACTCTTTTCTCCTTTTGTCCTGTGCTGCATACTTTGCTCACAGACTCGGCTATGTCATTTGAGGTTGATTGGTGGGATAGAGAGTGGGAGGTTAGAGGAAGTTTTAACTAACAGCCCTCCAGTGGGCCAGGCCTCCTACAGAAAGGGTCAGCTTGGATACTAGAGGATGTGAAGGTCGTGCCTGGTATCTTGGCCTCCTTCAGTATCCCTGGGACTCTGCCTTGGCCATGGCTGATTGTCATGGAGAGGGGATGAGAAGAGAAAACAGGTACCCTCATGTGAATTTTGCCTTCTGGCGCTGGAAGAGTCAAGGTCCTCCGATGCTTGCCAAGGCTCCTTCCCCCAAGGGTGGTTCCAGTTCAGTTCTCCCATCTCCTCCCTACCCATTCCTTGGGGTGGGGGCAGAGGCAGGGAGCTGGAATGCTGATGGGCACTGAGCCAAGCCTCCCTAGGACTAGCAAGTCATGTCCAGTCACTCATGAGCCACTTATGACAGTGGCGGAGCAGGGAGGCATAGGAGAGATGGGCTTCTCCATGTAGGGGAGGTGGGCAAACTGGAGAGAGGTTCATAAAGGCTAGACAAGGCTGATGGCCAGTGGGGAGATGACTGAGGCAAGGACTCCACAATTTCCTGGAGGCACATTCTTCTGGCTGGTGCTCAAACTACCCAGGTGTGACAGGCCTATGGTGGTGACGGGGGTGGCCGTACAGCAAGGAGAGGCTGGGAGAGCCGGAGAGAAGTCAGGGGCACCCTGGAGCTGTGCTAAAGGGAGGGGAACAGCCCTGCCTCCCAGGCCAGTTGGATGTTACACGAATATGCAGAAATTAGTAGCGATTTCTCCCTCCAGCTGCTGCTTCTCAAGATGTGGTTGAGTGGGAGTGGATGTGTGTGTTCCAAATACCAGGAGACACTGCATCTGACCTTGCATTCTAAAATGACAACTCCAGTCCAGTAGTGGCCACTTTCCCTCAGGCTCAGAGCATCTCTCCTTTTCCCTCACTCCCGCACCCCTGTCTCATCTTCCAGTCTGCACTTGCCTTATCCCAACTACACCACTCCCCAGCCTCCCCTAGGCTGACCACCCACGCTACCTCCTCCCCCTTCCCTCTTCCCAACATTCCTGGCCTTCTCAAACCCGAGTCTCA